TCAGTCCCTGAGGAGCAGAAGGCCCCATCAGAGTCTGTGTCACCAGCCCCAGCAGCAGGAGCCCGTGGGCTGCAGGTGAGTCACTGCTGCCTGGACAACAGAGCTGGAAATTCTCTTTTGCCTTGGTGTGTTTGCAGTGCTGGGCAGGTGTGGTGAGCTGCAGGAAGGGAGTGCCCCAAGGAGCAGCCTGTGCCTCCTCCCATGGGTGTTTTGAGGAGTGAGGGCACCTTGCCCAGCATGAACTCACTTGTTCCCTTTCAGAGTCTGGTTGGGGGTTGTTTTCTGATTGGCTCCATCTTCCCCACTGTGTCCAGTTCCTTGTTGGAAAAACAGGAATTGAGAGGTTCCCAAAAAGAGAATTTCTGTCAGTGGTTGTGTCTCACTGTGTAATTGATCCCAAGAGCTCCTGCTGTGGTTCTCCTTGGAGCAGCTCACTGTGAACCTTGAGGACTCCTGCCTTGTTCTCTGCTTGTCTCCTGCAGCTCAAGCAAGTGCCAGAGTTGCAGAGGGAGCTGCAGACCTTGAAACTGGCCCTGGCAGAAGCCAACATGGACAAGGCTCGCCTTCTGCAGGAGATCAGGAAGTACAACCCCCTGTTCCAGCTCTGACACTGCCAGGGACAGGGCACCAGCACCAGCAGGGCAGGTTTGGTCATTTCGCTGCCAAACGGGTCCAAGTGCAGGACTGAAACCAGCTGAGACTGCAGAGACTGGGCAGGGAGGGACAGAGGGGCCTGGCTGAGAGAAATGGGGCAATGAGGAGGAGTTTGGGAGGGCTGCACTGAGCCAGACCATGGTCAGCCCATGAACACCAGCTCAGATTTTTGGGGGACACCCCATGTCTCCTCATCTGTGGGAGGTTTTCAGCCTCCAGCTTTTGTGGTGACTTCTGGAGATGGTCCATGCTGGGGGTTCTGCTTCTTTCACCCTTCCCTGTTGTGTTCTTGGCCAGCTGTGCTCACCAGGCCCACAGCAGGGGCAGGGTGAAGTGACCCTGTCCCTGTCCCTTCAGCACCTGGGCAGTGACAGGACAGGGGTGGCAGAAGGGTCAGGGAGAGCAGGGCTGGGATGCCACCGTGCAGTGAGGGCACACAGCTCACTATTCCCACAAGAACAGGGGCAGGACAGTACAGAAGTTCCTTCAGATTCCCTTTCCCACCAGTAATTCCTTATGTAGAGATGGATGCAGTGTATGAGACTCAGTCCAGTCCACTTCATCCCACAATGTTTGGCTTTATTGGTGCAGGATTAATTCCTTACAAGGCACTGTTTCAATTTTTACTATCAAATAATGGGGTGAGGGAGGTTGTTTCAATCTCAGGAGATGACCTGGGTGTTTTTGGGATGCACTTTGTCCTCAGAGCTTTGTGTGCCTGAGTTCCCCACTGGGGAGGAGGAGCTGTGGGGTTTCCAGCACTGGGTGGAATCTTTCAGCAGGGCTGGGATGGGAGCCCAGAACCACCTGCCAGCCCCGATCCCAAAAGGAAATCACTGAACACCCCCATGTGGAGCAGCTCCCTGTGAGGAACTGCCCACGAGCAGAATTTGGATTTTGTTTCACCAAACTTTGTGCTGCTCCCTGTCCCTGTGGGGGAACACAAGAGCTCTGAGCTCTACCTGCCTGGGGTGGAATGCCACGGTGTTCCTGCTTTTTCTTCATTAATTGCTTGGAAATGGGAGGTTTCTCCCTTCTGCTTTTTCCAGTTTTCATGACATTTTGTGTGAGTATGGGAAGGCTTTGCCAAGGGTTTGCCCAGCCTGCAGGGCCCCACTGCTCCTCCCACGTGTGCAGGCTGAGCACAGCTGGGGCCAGGGTGTTTACAGCAAATTCCTACTCCAGCTCCTTCAGTCCATGGGTTTTGGTGAAGAATTCCAACTTCAGTCCATGGGTTTTGGTGAAGAAGTCAAGCATTTCCTTTGCTCTGAAGACCCAGTAAAAAGGACTGTAACCCAAAACCCACACACGTGGGAGGACAAAACCTCCTGGGTCCCCACAGATTGTAAATATCAAAGTTTACTTTGTGGAGCCTCTTATTTAAGGATTCTTCCTCTGTTCCAGTGAGAGCCCAGGGAGTCCTGCCTGGCACAGGGGCCATGGAGAGCACGTGGCCTCAGCAGCTCTCACAGGGCCCCTGGAAGGGGAGGGGGGAATGTGCAACTCTGAACTTGAATTTAAATCTGAATTTTAGGCAGTATTGCAACTTTGCTGCAGTTTGTTTCCACTGATTTATTGGTTCTATGAACCAGGAGCAGAATTAAACTCATTAACCTCCTTCCAGCCTCAGCTCTCTTTTCCTGTTTTTCCCTCTCCCTCCATCCCAACACTGCTGATTTTTGGGCAGCTCCTGGATTTGGGAGCAGAGCTGAACCCTGACTTGAGCTGTTCCAGCTCCCAGCACAGCCCTGGACCAGGCTGGGTCACACAAAGAGCAGATCCCAGACAGGTTATGAACACAAGAATAAGTTTAATGTACAAAAACAGCCAAACATACACACCTGGGCACAGGTGGCACATGTGGGCCAGCAGGAAATGCTCTGCAGCCCCTGCATTTCCTCTCCCTGCTCTGCTGAGACCCCAAAGTCCAGGCTGAGGGTGGCTCCAGCTCTGCCCAGGGTGGGCAGGGACAGCAGGAACATCCTTGAGTCCCCCAGGCCAGCCCAGAGGGGCCTTGGGGAGGATTCCACGTGGGAAGGTCCCGCAGGAAGCTCCTCTCAGCCTCCCTCAGTGGAAAATGATCTTCTTGTACTTGGAGTTGGGGATCTGCCCCCGTGCCTTGAGCCTCCTGACGGCCTCCCTCATGTGCTTGGGCTGCAGGGGGGGCAGCTCCCCCCACTTCTCACACACATCCAGGGCTGCACAGACAGACAGAGCTCAGGGCAGGGGCCAGCTGAGCTCTGCCCACCCCCTGCTGCAGCTTTGAAAGGAACAGGTAACGTTTGTGTTGGGCTTTGAGGCAGGAATGGAGCTGCTCCTCCCCCTGCCAGGAGTCCCAGAGGACAAAAAGCTTCTGAACCCTCAGGCAGGGGGGAGCTCTGGATCCAGGGAAGGGATGAGCGCAGAGCCCGAACCCTCAGGCAGGGGGGAGCTCTGGATCCAGGGAAGGGATGAGCGCAGAGCCCGAACCCTCAGGCAGGGGGGAGCTCTGGATCCAGGGAAGGGATGAGCGCAGAGCCCTGGGGCTGGCTGGGCTGTGATCCCCCCCCGGCTCAGCTCCTGTCCCACAGGGGAAGCCTGGGGCAGGTTTGGAGCTCAGGGATCCCCTCTGCCCCTGCAGCTGCTCTGGGATGGACAGAGCTGCCAGCCCAGCTCCTCTGCTGAGCAGCACTGGGGGAGCAGAGGGGCTGTGGCAGCTGCAGCAGGCCCTGCCCTGAGCCAGAGCTGCTGCTGGGAGGGAGAACCACGGAGAACCTGCTCCTCCTCCTGCTCCAGGCAGGGAGCTCACCCCGGGCCCCTCCCCTGCCACTCACCTTCCTCCACCACCTCCCCGACGAACACCTTGGAGATGCCCGACATGGCGATGACGACGTTCTGGGACACCGAGGTGCCGGTGATGGACTGGATCAGCTGCGACAGGGACAGGCGGGGACATCAGAGCGGGGCCCTCCCCGCCCCTCGGGGCCGCGGCAGGAGCGGCTCCTGATGGGGGGATTTGAGCTGGGGCCCCTCGGGACGGGCTGAGCTCGGGCTCCCGGCGCTCCTCACCCGTTTGATGGCGGCCTTGGGGAAGGCAGAGCGCCGGTACATCTCGTAGCGGTTCAGCTGCTCCTCGGAGAAGGAGGAGACCAGGATCCTGCGGGGCACAGCATCGTTCCCAGCCGCTCCCAGGGCCGGCAGGGGCGGGCCGGGAGGGGAGTCTGGGGGAGCCGCGATCCCCGGAGCCGCCGGCACTCACTGCATCTTCTGGATCTCGTCCTCGTCCACCTTCTGCTTCTTCTCCTTGCGCTCCTTCAGCTCCAGCTTCACCTTCCTGGCCGCCCCCGCCTGCAGCCCCGGCTCCTCCGCGTCCGCCGCCTCCCCGTCCGCGCTCCGCACCTGCGCCAGAGGGCAGCGCTCGCTCTGCGGCCCCGCGGCCCGGCCCGGCCCCGCTCCCGCTCCCGCCTCACCTCCCCGTCCGCCACCTCCGCCTTCAGCTCGCCGCCGCTGCCGGCCTCGCCCACCTCTCCTTCTCCCGCGCCCTCCGCGGCCGCCGCTTCCCCCGCGGCCGCGGCCCCATCGCCGGTGCCGGGCGGGGAGGAGCCCGGGGGCGGCTCCGGAGCGGCGGCGGCACCGAGCGCGTCCCGGGCCGGGTCCGCCATGGCCGCGCCCGCGGCGCCTCCCGATGACGTAACACTACGGCCGCCTTGAGGGGGCGGAGCCTGTCGCTATGGGAACGGTGATGCGCGACGGCTCGTTATGACGCACATTTACCGGCGACGCAGGGGGCGGTGGCGTCTGAACCCATGGCAACGGAGACGAGACGGCGCGTTCTGATGACAAAACTGCGAGCGCCCCGCCGGGGGGCGGTGCCTGTTGCCACGGCAACAGCGACTCGGCAGCGCAGCCTGATGACGCACTCTATGGCCGCCGCGATGGAGGCGGAGCATGTCGCCATACCAACGGCGCGTCCTGATGACGCAAGCTACGGGCGCCGCGAGGGGATGGGCGGGGCCGGGCTTGTCGCCATGGCAGCGGGGCTGCAGAGGGGGCCTGTGCGGGCCTTACCCCGCGCTCGGACCGACCGGCCCCGCTCCGAGCCGCCGGGACACGGCGTTAGAGCGGCCCCGCTGCCCGGGCCCCGCAGGGAAAGCCCCCCCAGATCCGCCCACAACGAGCGCGGCTGAGGGACTGCGGGCAGCGCTCGGGGGCGGGGCCTACACAAACCCCGCCTTCCGTACCGCCCATCCCCTCAGACCCCGCCCATGCCCCGCCCACCGGGCCCCGCCCTCTCAGGCCCCGCCCCCGGGCCAGGCGCGGCCCCGCCCCGGAAGTCGCGCGGGCGGCCGGGCCGGGCCGCGCCGGCCATGGGGAAGGAGCAGGAGCTTCTGGAGGCCGCTCGCACCGGGAACCTCCCGGCCGTGGAGAAGCTGCTCTCGGGGAAGCGCCTCAGCTCCGGCTTCGGCGGCTCCGGTGGCGGCGGCGGCAGCGGCGGCGGCTCCGCGGGGGGCGGTGGCGGCGGCAGCGGCGGGAGCGTCGGTGTGGGGCACCCGCTGTCCAGCCTGCTCAGGTGAGCGCGGCCCGGGGCTGAGGAACGGGGGACGAACCGGGGGCTCCGGCAGGCGGCTGCGGGCCGGGAGGGGAGCGGGAGCTGTGGGGCTGGGGGCAGTGAAGGGTTTGAATGCGCTCTGGGCTGCAGCGGGACAGAGGGTGCGGGGATTCCGGGGTGCAGCACTGCGGGACAAGGGGTGCCGGGGGTTCCGGGGTGCAGCGCTGCGAGGGACACCGGGGGTCTGTCCCCGCTCTGTGCCCCGAGCTGGGAGATCCCGGTGGGATGGGAGCCTGCAGCGAGCGGGCTGTGAGCGGGTGTGACCTGGGCGCCGCTGAGCGTTCGGTGCCACCGGAGCTGCTGGGGCTGCGTGCCCTCGGTGGGCTGGCAGGGCACAGGGCACAGTGACCCTGGGGCTGTCTGGGTGCTGCCCCGGTGCCCCCGGCCTCAGGGCGCTGCCGTGCCGGTGCTGCGGATGGCGGCACTGGGGCTGTGAGTGTCCGGAGGGCTCCGTGGCCGGGGCCGGTTCCGTGTGCGGGATCTCCGGGGTGACTTTCCCGGGTGTCCGGGCCCTGTGCTGGCATTGTCGCGGCTGGCAGTGACCCCTGCCGGGTCTGGGGTCGGCTCATCCTCAGCCCCGTGCTGTGGAATTTGCTGGTTGAAGCTCGTGGATATTTGTTAGGTTTTTTTCTCTTTCCCGTGTTTTGGCATCACCTCTCGCTGCTGGCGCTGCAGCTTTGGGCCATGGGGATGCTCCTGGGCCCTGGGCAATGGGTTTGTACTGGGAGCTGTGGAGGAGCTTTGTGTCCAGGGCCAGGTGACACTGTTGCTGCACAACCTGGCTGTCCAGAGGGATGTGACCTGCCCCTTTTTGGCTGAATTTGATTCATTTTTCCTTTCACATAACCCAGTTAGATACCTGCGGGTTGTGCTGGTGGCAGAAGCCTGCAGGCATGTGAGAGCTCACCCTGCCCTGGGGCACACGTTTGCCTTTCTGAAACGTAAATCTACCCTTGGGTCGGGCTTTGTTCTTCTCTTTTGATGCATTAAACAGTCTGAGTTTGAGTGGGATGGGTGTGCCCACAGGGGGCTCAGATCAGTGCAGAGGGTTGAGCACTGTGTGTGCTGAACGAGATCCAGCACCTGGGGCCTTTCCCTGGGACGGTGCCCACGGTGCCATGGTCCTGTGGTGCCAGGGGGAGCCAGGCCATCCCCGTTACTGTTTCTGACATGTGAGCAGGGCTTGGTGCAGATGTCTGAAGGAAGATGACTGTCACAGCTGTCACTCGTGTTCTGTGCTCACTGCCGTGGCTGTTGGCTGTACCTGCTGGTGGCACTGCCAGGTCCCAGCTCCTGAGCCTGTTTCTCCCTGCACAGCTGGGATTTGTGCCTGTGACACCAATCCCTGCTCTGGCTGCACGTTGTGGGGCATGGCAAGGTGTCCTGGGTGCCACCTGCTGCCATTCAGGAGCTTTGTGGCTGTTTCCCACCTCCTGGCCACTTGTTGGGCTCTGGCTCTTCCAGCTTGTGACGAGGTTTGATGAGGAGCAGCTGCAAGGAGAGGCCAGAGAGTGCAGGAGGCAGGCTGGGGCAGGCTGCAGGGAGCAGACAGATGAGTTTTAGGGTGGAGAAAACCTCACCTTTTCTAATGCTAGAACATGGGAGCTTTTCTGGTGTAGATTTTGCCCTCCTTGGTTGTGGGAGAAGCCTGCCCTCAGTCAGGGCTGTGTGCTCTGTATTTTCCATTCCTGGGGCAGCCCCTGGCCCTGCTCAGGCTGATCCCTGGTCCTTGCATGTCTGGGAGGATCTCTCCTGACACAGGAACTGCTGAGCTGCTCTCCTCCCCCAGAGCTCATTCCCAGAACAGGATCATAAACCCTCTGCTGGGCCAGCACCTTTGTTCTTTTCTCCACCCAATTTCAGGTCCCTGTTTTAGTTTCTGTTTAAGTCCCACTGTTTGGATAACCTGTTCCCAAAGCTCTTCTCTCCTGGGGTGCCTGTCACAGCTCTTTCTGTCAGTTCTGCACTTCAGGTGTCTCAAAGATACAGTTTTGGATGGGGTACAAACCTGGCATTCCCTGGAATTCCCACATTACCCCTGGTGGGTGCGGAGCTGGCACCTGCTCTGAGCTGGCACTCTTTGGTTTGGGCCATTTCTCCTCCAAAGAGAGCAAGTGCTGCTCCATGGAGTGCTGGAAGATGGCCCTGGCAGTAAATTCCTTGGATTGTGGGGTTTTATCAGGTAACCTGAACTGCCATCAGTGTGTTATCAGTTAAATGTGAACTTTGTCACAGTCTGGGCTGTGCTGCTCCTTCCCAGGCCGAGCAGGCCCTGCTGGGTGTGGAGGCAGCGCCGACTCCAACCTCCCATGGCTGCAGGTGAGCAGGAAACAGAAGGGGATGGAGTGGATAAGGCACAGGAGGAGGAATTTCAGGCAATTTGAGTCTCTGGAGGGGTGAATGTGCCAGGGTGGAACGCTCAGGGCCCTGGGAGCAGAACAAATCCCAGTGGGAGCTGATGGGAGTGGGGAATGTTGACAGCCAGCCTGGGGAACGAGGAGGCTGCAGGAGGGGGAAACGGGAGTGTGGGTTTGCCAGAGCAGATGGTGGGCTCACAAAGAGGTGATGGCTGCCAGGCTTGGGGAGGCTGGGCTCCCTGCTGGCATCCACACAGCCCCTGGGAGCTGCCACGAGCGCTCAGGAGCAGATCCCAGCCCCTCAGCCAGGCCTGGCTGCTCCAGTTCCAGCCATGGGCCGTGGCACAGGCAGGGGCAGCCGGGGAGACAAACCCACCCTGTGCATGCACAGCAAGTCCAGAAATCAGAGCTGCTCTGTGAATCCTCGAGGTTCTTTGGGGTTATGAGCCACTTCTCCATCCAGGCTGCAGAATTTGATTTGTTGTTTTTTAGTGGTTCACTGTGAAGTTGGAGGTGGGAAACAACAGAGCAGTCTGTGCCTGAGCTATCAGGCTGCGTTCAGGAGGCTTTGCCAGGAGCAATGAGGGATGGGTTGTGTTAAAGCCAAAGCTGCAGAAGCAGCTTTTCATTTCCATCCATTGCTGTGCAAAGTCTGGCTCTGTGTTGCCAGAGGGGGAAGCTGAGGCTGCTGCTGAGCCCCAGATGGGACATGCAGTCCCCAGGGAGTGTATCAAGGAGACGTTTCTGCTGGGAATGAGGAGTTTGGGTCCACATCTGCTGTGGGAAGGGTCGAGTGCTCCTCCACAGAAGCCACAGCCCTTGTTCCAGCCTGTTTTCAGCTGCTGCTCAGGGTTCTGGTTGCTTTAAAGAGTGACGTGGTGGGATGGCAGAACACTTGGGGTGGCTTCCAACAGTCCAAGGCTGGTTAGGAGTCAGAAAAATGAGTTATTTTTAAAAAACGGGCTTTGGTGTTTGTTCTGGAGTGGCTGATGGCTCACAGCAGGGATCTGACCGTGCCCTGTGTGCTCCTGGGGAAGGCTCTGACTGTGCCTGTGTGCTGCCATTCCCTGGGGGAGGGACACGGTGCTGCTGCCAGGGCAGGGGGGATTGCCCTGCCCAGGCCAGGGTCGGTCTGTCTGTCCCTGCACGTGTCCCCAGGCCTGTGGGTAAGCACAGAGTCCTGCAGGAGGGCTCCAAGGTGCAGCTCCCAGGCTTGTCCAGCTCGTGCTTCCCTCCCTTCCCTTCCCCATCCCCAGGGAGCTGCTCCTGCTGCATTCCCACAGAACAGGGCAACGCTGGGTCTTCCCCTGCTCCTGCTGCTGTGATTAATCATCATCTCACCCACTCTAAACCTTCTCCTCTCCACGCCCTCCCGTGCACGGATCCCTGTTTAATTACACACCTGAGCTCAGGGATTGCTGAAGGTGCTTGTGCCACAGGCACAGGTGTGCACCGGGCTCAGCAGGGAATTGTTTCCTAAGTGCTTCTTGAAGAATTCAAAGGCTGCACTTACTGCCTGTGACTCTGTGGTGTTTTGTCTCTGTGTGATCTTGTGATGTAGTTTTGGAAAGTTTTTGTTTGCTTGCTTTGGTCTGTGCAGTTCTGTGTTCAGGGCTGGGTCAGAGGCACCAGGCTGGGGCATTAACCCTGCCCTGCTCCACTCGCCCAGGCCAGTGGGCAAAGCAGGACTGGTGGTTTCACAGCACCTGGGGCTTTCTTGGATACATGGGAATTGGTGGGTGGGAGGTTTCCTTCCAGTGAAACCCCCTTGAGAGAGCCCTGTCTCCCTCCCTTCCCAGTGGCTGTGGGCAGCTCCAGGTTTGCAGGGTTTGGATGGCAGAGAGGGGATTGGAAGTGGAAGGCTCTGCCCAGGGAGGTGTTGGGGAAGCACTGGAGCTGGCAGGTGTGACAAGCCCCTGGATCAGCAGCAGGGAAGGGCAGGAGGAGCAGTGTCTCCCCTTCCCTCCTGCTCCCTGTGCAAGCTCTGCCCCACAGTGGGTGTGGGTGAGGAGGAGCTGCTCCTCTCAGTGCCACAGGTCCCCTCCAGCTGGGGAAGGCCCTTTGGCAGGGGGCAGAACTTTCTGGAGATGAATGGCTGGAGCAGTGTTTGGTGTGTTGGGAGCAGCTGAGCCAAGAAACAGGGTTCATGCAGCTGGGTTTTGTGAGCTAATGCATCATTTCAGCGAGACTGGAGGACAACAAACAGGATAGAAGAGCCATGGGTGAAAGGTGTGACACAGCACAGGTAATAGAGAGTGGAGGAAATGCATCCATGCCATGCCAGACCAAAGGAAAGCCCCTCTCAGCTGCCCTGGCACCAAGCACAGGCAGCTCCTGGAGGCTGAGCCCCTCCTGTGGCAGTGCCCCAGGGCTGCCAGGCTGGCTCTCAGCACAGAACAAGTGCTGACACCTCCACTCTGTGAGCTCACTGCCTTCCCGGGCTGTGCCGTGCCCCCCTGCTCTGTCTGCTCCTCACATGCAGCTGTGGGGTCCTTTCAAGGTGAAGTGTCCTCCTCAGGATGAGAAGGTGCCTCTGAACACGGGTGATGGCTCCTTCCTCTTGTCCCTGCAGCACGAGCTGTGCCCGCTGCTGAGCTGGCACTG